ATTAAGATTCAAATTGAGATTTTCCTTATAAGTACATTAAGGTATTAATAGAACTTGTCTATCGGTTGGTTTATTTATAGTTTACACGTTTAACAAGGCAAAATAAAAACGCTCCAAGTTGTACATTATAATGCCCTTAATATTCATCAGTTGTACTCTATTAAATATCGCTATAAACGAACCAGGATCATAAAATGTAACACAATCAGGCAACAAAGTCTATAAAACTTTGTAAGATAAAAAAAATCTAAATAAGATGAACCTTACAGACAGTGTATTTAAAGTATAAAATTGCGAACATGCATTTTTATTACAATTTCTTTCGCCGAATAGATTAGAAGCGTATTATCCGTTTAATTATAGAAATATCTCCGCGTATAAAAGTAGAAGGCAGTTATGTGTAATTAAGAGTACTGTTGTTCATCTGTCGCGGTAACAGCGGACAGATTACTGCGTTATTGTTGTAAATGTTTCTAGTTAGCGTCGCCCGCGTCGTGGCCGAGCTTAGCGAGCGATGATAGAAATGCTGAGAAGTACTTAAAGATCGCGGAGCCGAGTTCACCGTTAAATTGGGCAATTTGTGAGCGCACAGCACGGTGGCTGCGCCTGCGCCGCCGCGCTCGTGATATAACTGTTACGCTCATTATGTGACATATGGATCACGTGATCGCGTCACCTGTGCGTAATAATTGTTTATAGTGCACTCTTAACGGAACCCGTGTTGTCTCATGCATGATCTTCGTTAACCGAGTGCACTCCAGTGTTACGAGGCCGAGCGATTCCATTCTAACTGTTTATCCGAGCTGTCGCAGCAACTTCTTTTACTGCCGGATGCTAATGCTAATGTTAACACAAAGTGTATTTGGCCGTAAATGTCTCTACTGTATTAACTTTAAATGAATGCCATGATAAGCATTCGATTTTACAAAATTCTACTTTTTTGTTGAATTCTTAATATATCTATAAGAGTCATGTTTCGGGCGTGCCCAATAAAACACTTCAAACAAGTTTAACACAGTTTACGAGCTAAGAATTCTAACACTTTTACGTTTATCAACCGTTAGCACTATATTTACCGTGCTGACTCATTCCTTAAAAAGAGACGAAAGCTGTGTATAGCTCAGTATATAAACATAACCTTCGGAACCTCGCACCTACACAATAGTGAACTATTACTGTTTATACTGCCGAGTGACCAAGATTGGAGCAATGTTCCGCTCCGAGAACATCTCGGTTATCAACTCATGGTGTTATAGGTGAACTAACTGTATCGCAGGCTCCTTCCGTTGTTTCCCCATATATGAAAGCTATAAATGTCAACGAGCACATTGTCTTGCTTCTATAAGCTAAAGACTTTTGACAGAAGGACCTTTGACAGTCGTTACGCGATTCGAATTGAATATGGAAGTGCGAGTTTGTTTTACTTTAGCAATCGAATCGTTTATGACGTTCGGCGCTCTGATTGGTCGGATCTAAATTAATCAACCAATCATAGGGCTAAATACAGTAACGTTTCGATCGCGTTAATTTAGAGCAAAAGCACGGGATATGTCATAAAAATTTAATAATTGTGTTGATATAACAACGGTGTGAAATTCCCAAAACTTGTAGTGTGTAGTGTTTCTTTGTTCATATGTTCTACTTCTAAGCATGAGTTCGTATTAAAATAAAACGGACGACAAGGAAACTAAACGTTTTTATATTTCAAAATTTGTCACAATTCTATTCTTATCTAAATTCTTAGAAACATTCGTCACGTTCAATGTACTGTTGGATTAACTTAGTTATAGTAATCAAAATCTCTTTCGGAAATCTAAGATTTTGGTCTAACTTTAGATCTACAGATTTTATTGAAGTTTAAGAATTTGGGTGCTAAGTATTTTAGGTTTATTTCACTCTATCAATATACAAATGGGTTTAAAAGGTCAGCACTGCTAATTAAAAGGAATTTACTATGACGATAACATTGCACGAGAGCTGAGAATGCAGTATTTAGGCTCGCATTTGCATAGAAACGCAATAAAAATAAAATATCTCTGACATTAAAATTTAATGTGATGCAGAGTTAATCAATCTCCAGCTCAAAATTTAAAGGGCGGATTGAATCTTATCTGTCCAAGGGTATGCTTATCTATAAGGATATGGCTGAAAGAATTATGGATAATTTTTCGATAATTCTGAATGGGTTTATAACCGGTGTAAGGTCAAGTCTAGTTATGCATTAGTATTTGTTTCGGATGCTTATTAGTTAAAGATTTATTGCTACTAATTATGATATATAAGTAACTTTGCTATGTATGAAAGTTTACAGTAAAATTTTACATGATGTTATACCATTTAACCCCCGGAAGGGTAGGCTCAGTTGTACATTTCATATCAATAAGACACTCAATCTCCATTACCTATGTATATACATGTAGGTACCTATGTACATACGAGTATGACAAAAAATTCGCACATTAAGCTTACATCTGAAATCATTTAAAAGATTTGCTTGGGAACGTTAATGTGTGTGTAACACCAGTAATGCGTGTAAACGTCGCACGGTGCTCAGCTGCGCCGGAGTGCACGGAATGCGTACATTTTGTTTCGTTCACGCTCACTGTACTATGGGGACAAGTTATCATTACCGCAATACCGTTGAATTGTTTGTGGTTCGTTAAAGTTTCAAAACCAGAACCGCGAAGTCACCTCTTCCGGTGAATTTTGAAAATCACTCCACATAATAGACGGTGAGGAGTACTTAGCAACGGTATCTAAGTGCAATTACTTGTACATATTGAACAGAGAACGCCATTTAAATGCGTAGGCCGTAGTGTTCACACAGCAAATACGCATTAATAGGCACATACTAACAAGTTCACTTTTCAAAAAAATCAAATCGACTTCATTTAGGCTTGTTTCATATAGGTTAATGTTTTTTTTAAGTATTTGCAATATATTTAATCGTTCAATCTTAGGGTCGAATTCGATAATCGACTTTGATCTGATAAACTTTATTAATGTGTTACATTTCAGTACCATGTGTCATGTGGTTTGATTGAGAAAACTTAATTAATGTAGCGGTACCCAAAGAGTAATTATATTACGGACTTTACGACATTTAGTTTCGAAGGTTTCCGTTTCTTGATTGCTTTGATTGCGAATAAAAGTATACGAGTGCTTTATAAATCTTAATTTAAATTTTAACTGACTAAAGACATTGTATTGAATCGTAATGTACAAGAAATTATTTCAGGCGCTCTAGAGAATGTCTGCACAACAATAGTTTTGCTTTCTCGTTTACAAATGACCATTCATTGTATTTGATAAAAAGTATAGTGAAAGCGATATCGCAATGCAAAAAAGTAAATGAAAATTCGTGTCACTGACTTTCCTATTAGCTTTCATGGGTCCATGCAGTGCTGATCTTGACCTGCATTCGGCGCATCGACACTCACAAAGAGGTACTAAACAATCGAAGCGCGATCGGCGCGAGCGCACACAATACACACCATACAAGCACACATAAAAGATATGAATCAACGGATGCCGAAAACCACATTACTTTCCTACTTTCATTTTTAATCAATATTGTTGAATTACATCCTGTCGGCAATAAATTTCACTATAATGGACTTATTCGGAACTGGTATGTAGGTGAAATATTAAAGTGTGATAGTCTCAGTGAACAGTGAGCACGTAGTTTTAATGATACATCTGTAACGAATTACGCGGTACATTGAGTTGTTAAATTAGTAATTTATTGGTTACACGTAGAGTGTACGATTGTACTTCCTCCTATATATAATAACATAACTACCTACTTCTGCCAATCATCATCGATTTGCTGTTACGGTTCTAGTTTTTGATCAACTTTCGATTTTAAACACTTTGTGTTGTGTGTTGGTAGCTGTAATTTGCTGTTTTATTTTTTGCTGGTATTTTCTAAATTTGGTTGGTTCTGTTCTGAGTCATAGATTCGGTTGAGTATATCAAATATGATGTGCTTTTGTTTTCTTACCGCAAAGATTTGTAGTTACGATGTAGTCTATATGATTTTCTAGGTTAATTCTATTGGGATTCTATAGCTAATATGTTATAAAGCTAACTTTGATTAAAAGCTAGATAGATAAGATTTTTCAAAAAAAAAATCCTTACAAATCTATTCATAAAGACGCTAAGCTGAAAAATTGAACTTGAGGAAAATCATATTATGTGCCATAGATAATAATAATATTTTTATATGATAAAATAATATTTACGTTCGTATAAAACCAATAATTAGGTGTAAAATATCAGTTAAACACATCACACATCTCATTCAAAAACAAACATTGCAAAAACGCTACGAGATTTCGTAGCATATGTTTATTCAAGTCGCGTAGCACGTGCAGAAAGCGGCTTCTTAGCGTCTCGCTCTAGGATATACGAGTAAATCCGACATGCGAAGACATTAAGGGTATTTTATGCTATAATGTATTTAAAGACGCTAACGAGGGATCCTACAGACAGACGCGGATTTCAATGCAATGGATATAGGATAATACTGATGCAAGATAGGATGTTAGGAGCCAAGGAATTTGCTGTTAGGAGGGAATTTAAGACCGGTCGCGTTGTTCCGGTTGTTACCTACCACAGTTGTTGGTATATTTTTGTATTCGTAGGGGATGGGGACTTTTATGAGCTGTTTTTTTAAGATGTTCTCTTTTTTCAAGTTTTGTTGGTTTAGCGATGGACTAATTACGTACGTTTTAGAGTATAACTCTTTTGGACTATAACTGAGTTTGCGGATAAACATGTCAGGGTTATGGGTGCATCAGCAAAAACCTCCCAGTTTCTTCTCCAGGTGAGAAGGAACTAGGAGGTTTTTGTTCTGACATTCCCTTTCGCGCGGGGTCTCTCTCTGTCTCCGGGTGGGAGAAGTTATTTAATGATTTTCCCTCTGTGTCTTTTTATGAAATTTTTGAATACTTCATTTAAAAAATGTGAATACCTCATTAGTTTCTTTTTTGTTTTCTAGGCGGTTCCATCGCCATGAAGGGTGACGGGCTGCGCTTGGCGCGGCTGGCGGTACTGTTACTGCAGGCTACTGTTGTTCTCAGTGAGTATCTTTTACATTTATAAAGACACGCTAAAGCTTTTCATATATCTATTTTCCAAGAAGTCTTACAAATAGCTAGAAGACGCTATAACAAAAATAAGTATAGTTAGTAAATTGCGTAAGTATTACACATGATAACTAAAAGATTCCATTGCAGAATCCCAAAGATATACAATACTGCAAACGTCATTCAAAATAATAATTTGTACTGTTCTAGATCTGTTGAAAAGATAGATAATCAGTATGTGCTGCACGATAGCTCAGTTATTAGTATATTCTTTTACGGATGCAACTGTTAATCATGTGTCTTTTTCTAGGTCGAACGGCATTTGAAAAGTTGACTGATGTAGACTTCTCGGGAACTGCGTACTACACAGTACGAAACCTATCACTGTATGAGTGCCAGGGCTGGTGTCGCGAGGAACCTGACTGCCAAGCCGCTTCCTTCAGGTAACACAATTACACACATGGTACCCAGCCATTACTAAATAACAGCACCATATCTAAACTTACCAATAAAGGCAATACGATTACCTGTACACGAACGTAGACAGCTCATTACAAGCAAAGCGGCGCCGACTTTAACCACCGATTAAATATTAATTGTATATCAATTACTACCGACAAGATAGTGTCAGTAGAATCAATCCGTCCGCTGCTCTGACCTACTATGGAGAATTCGCATTGAACGACGTCAAACGACATGACTCGTCAATCTTACTGATCACGAAACAAATAAAAATCAATGTGTTTGTCTTATCTTAGATCTAGATGCTCCTGACCCAAATGTTCGAGATACAAATCTGATTGACGTGAAGATTCACTAATTCAGGTGATCGGTGGCTCAGAGGGGAGAAATCGCATCGAAGTGTACCGTGTCGACCTCCGCGATCGCTTCAACGCACGACGCATATCAATGACTATAGTAAAATATTCGTCGCAGAAAGTCATCCGAGCACCGAGAGTCGCTTACTACTTTTCCAAGTCGTTTATTTTGTTTGGCGCATAACTTAGTATCAAGTTGCCTCGCGTAGGTTGAGCTCGGGACTCGGACTATCAGTAATCTCTTTTCGTATTTTTTTGTTTAGTTTGCCTACTTAAGTACGAGGCAGGGCGCGACATACTTCCAGGAGTGGCTACGTGTGTAATCAGAATCCTAAATCTGCGCGGTTACAGTTAAACAATAACTCCTGGACTCGTGAGGTCACCGTCAGAGTCACGTAATTTACATGATGTAGTGAGTTCGCGAGTTGTGCTGCGGATGTGTGTCAGTCTGCCACACGTCCTGCTCTCCGGCCCGGTCCGGCCCGGCGCGGGCTCGGCGACACGCTGCCGACTTATAACAATGTGTCTCAGGCATAGCCACAAACCGTGTAAAAGCGGAAACCGACCTCGCCGCGTTCCAAATTGGATAACAGTAAAAGTGATCGCATACGTCTTCAATGGATATTATTTCCATCGCTACATTTTCCAGCACACCCGATAGTTTTCATGACTATTGGTGGTTTCAAAGGCATTATTTTAATTTATTGTTATTGTCTGCAACGTTCTGATTCACTCTGTGGCAATCGTTTTGCTTAGGATTTGGAACAGACGCCATGCATTTCTATGCATTCTATCCGCTCCCACAATGTATATGCAATGAAGTGCTTATGGGACAATTTCTAGTCTGGTATGCGCATACAAAGTGCTATTTGAAGAAATGACGATTCAATGGTAGACAGTAGAAGAAAGTGTTGGAAAAATTGATTTAGTTTTTCTCGTCGCCGCCGCGCTGTCGTCGCGCCGTCATGTCGCTCCCGTACGTTATTATCATAGCTGTTGGCGTGCACTGCAAAAACTTGTAATTGTATTAGACTGAATTGAACCGTGTAACAGTATTAAAACGCTAGTTAGATTCCTCGAAATCAATTTAAACGGGATCGATCGAAAATCAATTCGGTATTCAATTAAACGAGTTGGAACTTTCCCGCGCTTCTAATCTACCATTGTGAGTTAACATGTACGTATCTCGAATCGATCCGTCCGAAGAAATAGCGATCCAGCAATCTTACAAAAGAATGGGACGAATGCGATTTTAACAATCGGTAACTGTTTACCGCGGTGCCACTGACTCGTCTTTAGAACATTTTACGGTATTCGGGAGCGAACCGCTCGACCAGATAGCATTCTGTCTGTTCAAAACTCCAAAGTAAACTTGACATTAAATCGTGGATTAAATATCTCAAATGTACAGATCACGACCTCCACTGGCACTATCTGATGTTGTCAAATTTTGATAAAATCTTTACGAGCACGCTGCCTCGTTGCGAATATTACTTGAACCTAAAAATGTAAGCATGCTAAAGACCTTTCTACTGCTTACTTTTTTGAAAATGGATACAGAAAAACAAAATTGTGATAATTACGCGTCGAAATTACGAGTAATTTATAAAAAGTAAAAGCAAATATTAATAAGTTTTCTCCACATGATTTCATATTCGGTATTTAGGTCCCCAAAAACAACATAAACTAAATTGATTTACAACATTAATTTAATCGAAACCATTAATTATTTGGCAGCCACAGAGATAACATTTAAGACGTACTACAACAACTTGTTCTCAAGTTTAACATAGTAGCATCAATTGATAGACGATGCAACATAACGGCAGTGAAAGATCATTACAGAGTTCAAAAAGATTTGTCGAAAGCAGCGTGTTTACAAACAGCGCATTAGTCATCGCAGATAACGCGTCATTAATTTACCTATCAAAAGATTTGAAGGTTACGCTACTGCGGCGTTTAATGAAGTGCGCGGTGTTTTTCGGATGCCATCATTTTATTGGTCGCGGCTGCGCTGGTCGGCGTGTGATTGATGCGCATTGCGCAGGGTGCGCGGGCGCCGGCACCGGCTAACGGACTCCGCCGATCTGATGATCGGCCTGATCCGACCAATTTGTGTAATAAACGTAAATACTAGTTGATACTAGCGCGCCCATAATAACCTCGACGCCGTAATGATGTTAGGACGTTTGTAATCTCTATAAATACGATGTAATATGTGCAATTTGTAAAGTCTGCGGTTTGGATTATATGCCAATGTAATTGATAGTACAGTTTGTACCACCTCGGCTAGATGGGCCGCATTTATTGCTGTATCGATTTTAAGATGCGCCATAATCGTGCGGTATGAGAATCACAGATCTTTACTTTGTATTTTTACAATCTCTTTGATCTTATTTACTCTGTGCGGTTTTGTTTCTAGAGTAGGAACCCGTTTTAGCTTTACAAGAGTGCATTTTTCTAACTTGACGTTTCTCAACGCAGGAAATGCCATCACTTGAATTGTGATCATTTATATGTGTGGTATTTGAGTTTAATTTATACAGATGGCACAATTTCCGTTTAAATTATCATTCTCACAGCTACGCAAGTTGTCACGTCGCATAATCTATCCGTCGCCCGCGGCTTGCAATGCATCGAGTATCGATAATACTAGTGCAGGTCTGAAATTAAATAATCAAAGTGACGTGACGGACATTAGTCTTTGGTTCTAAAAATAATGTGCGCTTCTCTCTGCCATTAGCTGAGCTCGCTTGATTGACGTCCTTGTAAGCCCTTGGCACAAATGCATAACTCGTCATTACGTTGGCACTGAACTAAGCGACGAGAGTTAGAACCTGTTTGCTTCGTAATTGCTAAGGAATATACGAAAATATGCCGATTGCTCGATGTGAATTTACTGATATAGCGTTTTATTTGGAAAGTTAGAAGACCAATTATCATTTTATGCTGCATTGATAGTTATAAATGGGATAATTGAGAGTTCAGCAATGTTATTGCCGGAAAATACTTCGATTAAGCATATTTGAGTATTTTATATGAAAATTGTTTAATGAATCGTGACTCTATAATCGTACAGGTTGACTGATTTAAAGAATACATAACAACAACAAAAAAACTCAGCAATTATAAAAGCAATGCACCTTTAAACTAAGCACAAAAAGAACTGAAATATTTTCCCACCAAAAATTAGGCTAATTGGTTCAACGTGAACCTGAAAAATGTTCGAGAGATAACATCGTTTACTAATTATGTGTGTGCTGTAATCGTTAAATCAAAACCTACTTTCTCATGAAGCGGTTTATGCATATCTTGTGTTGGTATCACGTATAATTTGCACGCAGCTTTAGAAGTTAAATCGTAAGCGATACTTGCATACTAATGCACACGTAATGAACGTGATCGAGTATCGGTTCTATTGTGTTGGAGTTATCATAAATATGACATGGGGTAGATACAGCTAAGAGCTTTAGAATCTATCTTCGGGTTTGTTGCTAAGTGTTGTGTACCAAAAATATGTTTTAGTTGCAATTTAATACATTTATTTTGGAACAGAATTTCTCCATTAATTCCAACGTTTTTTTCATGCCTTACTGTAGAGTACTGTGTCCTCGGGCTTCTGTTTCTATTTATCGATAAATCTGTTGCTACCAAGTTATCTTACATTACATCCTTAAAAAGCATGATGTATAGAAGAAAGTTCTAGAATATCCCTTTGTAGTTTTAATTTGACTTAGATAGAGAGTACAAATAAAAATGTACTCTCATTAGAGTAGGTATCTATTGAGACTCATTTCTCGCACTAAACTGTTCATTAATTACCAAATCTACCCACACACTCATACATATTCACAGTATAACCTGTGCATAAGATACGCACACCTGGGCAATGAATTTAAATCAGTTCACAGCTGGTAAAGACTAGCCGATCGCCTATTTAATTACTGTTCAACAGTAAGTGCGCTCCGAAGAGTTATTATGTCTGTTGTGAAACCGAGTCGAAATGCAATGTCATTAGTTTAAGGGCTCTATCGACCCATTAATCATAAACTTTTTTATACGAATTCTTTGTTAACAAGTACGTGCATAAACAGTCATTTATTAACTAAAGTTTGGCAATTTGTCAGAGTCGAGCTTTCAAATGGTTATTATTATATTGTTACGGCTTGTAGATAGAACGATTAAGTATAAAGTTGCTTGGATAAGAATCAAAGTTCGCTTGGCTCATAAAATATAGTTATTTGTTTTTTATTTAATTGATGGCAGTTGTGCTTAGGAAGAAAGTGTAGAAAAGTTGTACATGCGTTTAAAAATAAACCTAATTGTAATACAACTTACGAACAATTTCGTTTTTATCTTAGGATATGGAGGAAAATCGCGGAAACCGCACGGGTTGTGGTTTCACGTCGTGTTCTCGTGTAAGCTACTTCATGTAACTGAGCTCTAATTAATGCTAGGTTATTAAAAACCACATTCTTAACTAACTTGATCAAGTAGACAGTTATGAAAGATAAATCTGAGTGGCTGTGCTTCAATCTGTGTAGGTAAGGATACATTTTGCCGATGATACACTATTCGTGTAAGTGTTCGCATTAATAAGTCAAGTAATCTCGTAAACTAGCTATGGTTTATATAGCACGGTAGACTCCGTTATTCCAGGAACGGCATAGTCGCACGTAATAAAATAAATTCATCGAACATTAACACCCCTACTTCGTGATCACTGAGTTATTGCCTGCGTTCCACAACTAGATTGAATCGTCTAAAAATAGCTAATTTAAAAATAGACTTAAATATCTTATAAATAAAATTCTTCATTTCGTAGAACATGTATAGAAAATGCAAATAGGTACCACCGCACCTATCGTTCTCAGCGATTTAATTCAAGCAATTTCAATAACGAAGCTTACAAAAATTTATGTAGACATACTAATACGTGAATGTAAAATGCACGTTTTAATTTATATCTCAATAATAAATTCAAATAAAATTGATAGTAAGCCATAATCGTTTATCTATTTGACGATATCCCACGCGCTTCCGCGGCGGTATTTCGAAATTCACGATCTATCGATTTTTTACAATTTCTAATTGTTCGACGGAAACGGATATGTTAAGACTTTTAAATTTAACACCACAAACATCTTAATATATAACGTGTCTACGTTAATTATAGTTATTAACAAATGTCTGATTTTTATATATTAATGACTTTATGAATTAGTTATTTCGTTCGTGTATTTGATCTTTCTACATATGATTAGAATAGTCTCAATGGAAACTTTTGTATTCTATTTGTACATATATAATTCAGGATAAGTTTAGCCTTTTCTAACAATTTTCCTTGCGTAGTTACTTGGTTTTGATGGCAACACATAATCGATACAACTTTTGAAATATAACCTTTTTGAAATTGTATGTTTATAACTCCATCTACGACATTGGAGAAAACCTTACTGTACGCCAACGTTAAAAAAAGAAAACTTACTTCATATACTATGAATATTACTGTACCTTTATCTCCAGAATTGGTAGAAGTACCATTGTAATAAATCCGGGATAACGTTCTCCTAATTCTTCACTGATTTCCACTGACATGCATGGGAATTCAAAATTTACAGAGACAATCAGCTATGGCTACACCAAATTAGTATTAGTTGTAGAGTAAGTATAAATGAGAAGTAAGAGTGGAGTAGTAGTAAATAAAAGCGGTTTGGTTTTGGTAGCCAAACAATGGTCTACTATCTCTGTACGGAATCAAGGTCCATTTTCGCATACCAAATACCAATGGAAAATGTCCATCATTTTAGACTGTATCTACAACGAATAAATATGCGTGTCTTCAGACAAGGCAAAACCAAAGTTAATATTATCTCATCATAATAGTCTTCTGATGTCTACATTTATAATATAAGATGCTTGTAAGAATATTTTTATGGATACAATGCGTATGGATATCATTAGGTAGCCGAAGGGCTATTAGTGTCTACACAGTCCAGTAATAAAATAAAAGTAGGTGCATGTTATAAAGATGGCCGCCAAGATTTTCTATCTTTTTATTGTGAATATGATTAAAGTGAGATGTGATATCGCTAGTAGGATAAAAAGTTTCTTTTATATTTTATATTAAACAATATCATCTGTGTATATAGCCATTTTTGTACATCAGTTCGTTGTTATTGAATTACTTACTTACATAATTCATACAATATACAGATCTTCCGTGGATTGGCGTTTTTTTAACATCTGACGGTTATCCTCACCTAAATGTTCGGTATTCCTAGTCCCGCTATCACGATACCTGCACAGCACATTCTGCTCTTGGCTGTCGCTCTACACTTCCTGGAGCAATGGTCGGCTCACGTCGCTACTAAAAAATCCAACCGTCGACGTGCCAGCCGACAATTGCTACGTTTTTATCATCTACGCAAAAATAATCCTTTAACTTGAAGTAATTAAAATAAAATACTTTAATTACTATAAACCCGATTCATTTTATTGTGCAAATTATTCGATAGCAAACAAATAACGGGATGGTCAAATCGACCGTGACGATACCCATCGCTAATAGATATTTTATCAATATTTACACTTCGATCAGTTAACATGTTCACGCTAAAATATTGATGTTATTTCTTATGTCCATCGAACACAATATAGTTAATATTAATGCTTTTTCCATTCCCACGTTGAACTGAAACGGTTGAATGGATATCGATGAATGAGATATCAAAAGATTTACGAAACGATTCGTCATGACAATCCTCAACGACACTATATAAACGGTTTTTATATAGACCGTCTTTAAATACAGTTATCAAAAATTTTCGACTAATATTTCCTTCAAAGAATTGTACTGAAACGTACAATTTGTGTCAAATATTTCTAACTGTCCAACGTCCAGCAAACGTCAACTTGTAAATTGATTAAAATTTCCAACAAAAATGTGGTTACCGGACGCACTTCACATATTTTTGTAAACCGGTGTTTGTTTCGTTACGGCTCGGTACAACGGTTTCTTTGCAATTCAAATCCTCCGGAGTTAGGCGAATGGATCGTACCTAATGAAATAATTTGGCCCGTTTTACAGGCGAAGCACCGTGGATGTAAGACTTTCTTTTATTGAAAGACCGTATCGCTATGTTGGATAGATTACGGAAGGAATAAAATAACAGTTAGTGCCGGTTGCTCACAATGAATTTATAAAATAAAACTTAAGATGAAATACAATTAAAAGGCGGTTTACGGCCATTTTGCACGACGTTAGCGTCTAAAATCTATTCTGTATCGACAGCCATTTTGCTTTTTTGAATTATGAGTTGCTTTAAATTACTTTTTAATAGCGAGAATACACTGTTAGCTTTCAGGGAACCAGCTTCTTTCATAGACATAATACTAGTAATTACCATCTTCATTTTCTACGATTTTATGTTCTTTATATTCCCATTAGTATGAATACGCCATGTGATGCTGTTTACAAGTTTTAATTCCACAAGCTGAAATAGCCATTTACATCATCCTTAATTGCTATATTTGTTACAGCTTTGTGTTGAATCCGTTGACACCGGTGCAAGAAACGCGATGCCTCCTTCAGAACGACACTCAGGCCAACAACCCCATGGCCACTCCACAGGTACGTACTAATTCACTCACCAACATGTGGCACGTACGATCTAACGTTATTGCGACTGACAATACGACCAAAGAAATAGAATTGGTCTAAAGGAATTCGCCATTCCTCGGCCTAATTGAAGTAGTTATCTGCGAACCGTTTACAGAGCTTATCTTTCGAAACTTATGTTCACATCTAGTTTTACACACTATCATTATAATCTACAAGACATGCTTTGTCTGGGGCACAGTGTAACAGGTAACTGTTAACGTATTTAATAGCCAAATAAATTTATCTCGGTTATCTCCTAGCATTCCCTCAGTACTGCCAATTAGCCGACCGATGCAGAGATTGGATTAACAATTCAGATTAAATCGGTCAACCAGTCCCCGGGAACCTAACTGGCCGCCACTACATTGTAACTGTTCAGCTAAACGCTAGACAGTTTAATCGCTTTCAGGCCTAATGAACGGTGCCGCTAATAAATATACGATGTTAAACGATGCGGCTCGCCACCGCCCGCCACCGACTCTCTTTGTTTATTTTGATCAATGAAATTAAAGTGAAATTATCTGCTGGTAAACAACAGCTCAAAACAGATGAGCATTGAATCTTATTAGATGTCACCATCTTATAATTTGTCATTAGTCTCCGAGGTATGCCAAAAAATGTTCATCCCTAGTATAGTATAACTATCAATAAATCTGTAAAAACCATTGCTTGAGATCGTTCGCGCTTATATCAATGCCGTTTCTAAGACTATGCTAATTTTATGTGAATGTACTATCGATTACGATGCTTTAAAGTGACACTAATGTTTTGGTACAGCGGTCAGTGAACACGTACTACATGGTGAAGCTGCAAGTTCGTACGGAGAGCGTTTGTCTTCGGCCCTGGGCGTTCGAGAGAGTGCCAGGCAAGTCGCTGCGCGGACTCGACAACTCTGTCATCTACACGTCGACTAAAGAAGCCTGTCTTGCTGCTTGTCTTAACGAGGTAAAGTAAAAAAAAAATAGATTTAATAGATATAAAGGTTAGGTTAGTGTAAACCTACATGTACCTAATTACTGCTAAGAGGTGCTACGCGTTCCATGTTACACTGAAAATTTGCTAAACATGATCAATACTTAGTAGCAAATTAAAATTTTGTAGTTACCTACTAAGTAAATTACACTTTCATGCGTGTCCTTTCTTAAAGTTATTCAAGACTTCGTGCTTTGGAGATCATCTTAATATATTTTTTTTTTGGTTTACTTCTATTTAGTATGACATAAATTAAATACGTATACATAATCAAAAACAACTTAGATACCATCCCTAATGAATTGAACATGGCAAGCCCAGTTTAGCTCTTATCTTACACTCGTGATCATTCCGATTCCAATTTTAAAATGTTAACGGAATTGCATCCGTATTGACATCGTAATTATCTAAATATATTACCTAAGAGGAAATATAAAAAACCTTAACAAGATTTATTTTATGGAGGCATGCATTTAGAGTACTAAATAATAAAATACCAGGGCACTAGGATTTTGAGGAGGTATCGAACGTTCATAGATTATTCTGTAGCCGTTAGATGTCTTTTGGGGCGTGTCGCGATGCTCGGTTATCTACGAGCCTTTAAGAAAACATCAGACTGCGCTGCAATTTAGCATTTATCTATTCAATTTATATTTATGGTTTTGCCCTACTTGTAGTGGCACTCAAGATACCGACGAAATGATAGGGGTTCTTTCAATACACTCTCGACATTATAGGCAGTTTTATTTTGTTTTAAATTTTTGAGTTAAGGCTCATTTACACAATATCATTTTCGTGAACAAACAGGATCAACAATTAAATTCTATAGTTTGGGGCTTGTTTACTTTTTACATACATATTGTTTAGACGAAGCATGTCAATAGTATACAATAGGCAAGAAACTTGCATAGTGTAAATAGGGCTTTGATGATCAGCTTAGATGACCAGGTTGTTAAAGAATTATCGTTGATTTGTAGTAACTTCTGTACAAGATCTTTAAAAGTGAAATTTTGATGCAACTTTGTATTATACTGTGCTAGGCTATATATAATTACGTAAATTGATACAATAAGGAGGTGAGGTTCGTAAATATGCTTCTGTGGTCCACACATTGTAATCTTTTCATTTACAACCAACTTGATGTACAAGGGATATTTACATAACTAAAGATAGTGTAGCCATATTGTTTCTTAGCATTTAATTTGATTATAGTGTACTGGAATGGCTTAATTGCTCGTAAATGTTACTAAATTAAGTAAAAATATTTTGAGGCACCAGTGACGTTGATACTATAGAAAGAATAAGACAAAATGCATCCAGCGTTATTTTTTAGCGACCAATGACAAAAGTTTGTAACACATACATTATTTAGCTATGCATTCGTAACTGTTGAGATTTGTAAAATTATTTCATTATTCTGTAACATAGACTGTGTTGCTTCAGTAAAACCACAAAAAGGATGCACGCTAGTAAGTTTACTTTATGCTGAAACATACATTATTGTAATTGGAAGCTAATCCTTCTTATGTTTCATGTTGTTTAGAAAAAGTTCCCGTGCCGTTCAGCAGAGTATGAATATGGCAGCATGCGGTGTTCGCTCAGTGACTCCGACAGGCGTACGGCGCAGCACTTCGTTCAGCTCGTGGACACGCCCGGCACCGATTACTTCGAGGTAAAACACATTAAACACAAAACTACACTCATTTACTTAACACTTACAACCTCCCATTTGTTACAAAGCAAACCATTTAATGTCGCAACTAAACTTTAAACAGTGCAAAGCTTAACATATTTCCCTGCAATAATTCAACTTAATGCGACGTTAAGATTATTAAAGCAATTTCAGCTGACATCGTAAAACAAGATTCACATTCTTCAGTCGCTCATATTTTGCAATATACAAGAAAACATTCGACTTAAAATTACTTACCTGGCTCATTTATATTGTACCAGCTTTAAATTACTTGAAGTGGCGCTTTGGTTGGGTTCATAGAAAACAATCACAATAGTAAAGCGGCCCGTTTGAACGCTAGTCGTGAAAATAAACATGTATTCAGTTAACGTTATTACCATTGTTGTGTGTTATTTGACGTGATTTGGTCGGTGTGTGGTCGTGCAGAACTTGTGCCTGAAGGCGTCGCAGGCGTGCAAAGGGCAGCGCGTGTTCACAGCGCCGCGCATCGGCGTCGCCGAGGACAAGGTGGCCCAGTACGCCGGCCTACACTACTACACCGACAAGGAGTTGCAGGTAAGATATCACACTAATTACAACTTTATGTTATCAAGCACAGAATTCAATTTAGTTTTTAGTCATAGTAGTCTAAGTAATACAGAGGACCTATTTGAAATAGGATATGCAAAAAAAATTTACAAAATAAAAAAACCGCCTTCAAAAAAAGTCAAGCAATAAAAGTTCCTACACTAAAAAGTAAAAAATAACAATTTGAATTACTGTAAAAAAACTTAGTTTATAGGTAAACTTATTTGACATTAATATTTTGCAAATATTCAAAATTTATTACTTATTTTTGGAGTCGGTGCCAGCATTTTAATGTTGAAACTTAATGTTAGTTAGCTTTTTAATATCCGGTGCCATTTTTCGTACATAATGCTTAAACATTTTCAATGTACTTAAAATGTTTTTGTAAGTATATATTTTTTATTTAAAAAAAATGTGCAAATCGGACATTTTTTGTAGAGAAGTCTAATCTGTATTTATGTCTTAATTAATATACCTATATTTGAGTATGCAAATAGGTATTAAGTAGTTTTATAATTAAGTAAGAGGTAGTTTTTCAAGGGATTGTTGCCCATTTGTATTTCCTTGCATGGGCTGGCACCGACTCCAAAAATAAGTAATAAATTTTGAATATTTGCAAAATATTAATGTCAAATAAGTTTACCTATAAACTAAGTTTTTTTACAGTAATTCAAATTGTTATTTTTTACTTTTTAGTGTAGGAACTTTTATTGCTTGACTTTTTTTGAAGGCGGTTTTTTTATTTTGTAAATTTTTTTTTTATTTGTAGCCGTTTAGTGTTTTTTTTTATTATAATGTGTTATGGCAAAGAAGTCAATATCGTTCCTACATTTCTTTTGAAAAAGTTACCAATGTCATACTTATACGTAGAAATACATATCATAGTACATTGTTACTGTGTAATCGTTTTGATCTCGAGGAGAGATGATATGATGCATGAGATACTTATGACTTATAGTTAAAAAAAAAAAATAATCTTATCATAAATTCATATTAGTTCTCACCAAATAACAAAAAACTAGATATTTTCATCAACAGACAGATAAAGTTCAAAGATACCAAATGCAATCTAATTTAGTATCTATGATTAAATACATTCGTACATAGAAAAAAGACCGATGCAATTATTGTTTTGTATCAATTGTAACCCATTAAATGAAGAATACTATTTTGTTATTACTAAGAACATTCATATATAGACAAGTTGGTAAAAATACAAAAGACCATCGCTATTGTAAATATACATTTATGAGTCATTCAATGTATGAACCTTTTTTAAGTAAGTATTATCTACATATGTGCACACAAAAGAAACACAATTATTGTTTTGTACGACGCAATTATTGTTTTGTAACCCATTTAAAACGACTGTTTTGTTAAAAATGCCAATGAATTCTCTTAGCCTATTACCAGGAAAACGATAAGAACACAATGACGCATTTCACCACTAATGTGTAAACGCAGTCCACGTGGACTAATGCAAAATAGCCAATACTAGGCCAAACTCCGCCCCCAAAGGTGTGCGGTCCCGCTCTAGAACCTTTCGGCCCCATCGGCCATCTGTTCTACGAGCAATGTGCCGTGCCCACTGTCACTTAAGTTTGGCATTTCTTCGGGCTATGTCGGTGACGCTGGTTCTTCTGCGGATTTCTTCATTTCTGATTCGAACATGCACGGAAACTATGAGCATAGCCCTTTCCATTGCTCTTGACAGCTCTAATAAGCTTACACAATACTAGGCCCCATGCCAACCTTCCAGCTTCATCATCACATCAGTTCAATAGTACCTTACAGCCAAAGTGCATCTTATAACAATTCTAACAAGCCCAAACACGGCTAGGATATATTAATTAGGTACGCAGTTCCAGTGCCTACCTTCCAGCTCCATAATCATCATTAAATCAGTTCGATGATAACATTTCCAACATAATTATTTAAGATCATTGGTTTACAGTGCATTTTCATAGTTGCTGAACTACCTTGATTGTGATATCTATGCGAGTGTCAAGTTTCATCACCCATTTCTGATCTTCTTCACCAGTTCCACCCCATCAAATATTACTTTTTGACTGTAAATGCTTGAGTGCTCTATGAAAATATTAAAATTACTATATAGTTGCCTATAATATTTGAGGAGTTCCCTCGATTTCTCATGGATCCCATCATCAAAACTCAATTTTGAAAAGAATGGGACCAATCTGGAAGCATATCCTTTCAATCATAAAAAAAATTTTGCAAATCCGTCCATAAACGACGGAGTTCTGAGGTAACAAACATAAAAAAAAAAATAAAAAAAAAAAAAAAAAAATACAATCGAATTGAGAACCTCCTCCTTTTTTTGAAGTCGGTTAAAAAAGGACGCATTGCTGACAAGCGCCTATTAACGTTTGAGTAGGGTAAGCGGAGAAATATGCTTGCATTTTATTACACCTTTATTGGTTTCTGTGATGTTATCTCTGCAAGCTTTATGATTTGCACCTCGGTCCTCTATACCGATGCAAAATGATCTGTCATTTGTTGAACTCTGTAATATATTTAACCTGTCGTCTAAATAGGTTTCGGCCGTTGGTCCGTCCTTTTCCGCGTCCCACTGGTTTAACGAGAAGCGGCAGACGTTAAATCGTGTGCACTTGTATATAATCACAAGAAGGAAGACGTTGCAATTAACTTTCGTACACAATCGATGTAAACTCAAGACAATGATATATCGCCTCTTGTTATGGATACTGGTGATTTTATGAGTGGGGCAATGCTAGCTACTAGATAAGTGTAAATTTATGAAATATTCAAGTTGGACCCATTACCTACGTCAGTTTATTACACCCACGCAATCATGTTGTTTCAAGCCTCGAGTCGTTTTATTTTTATTGTCAGTGATACGTACATCCTTTTCATACGTGTCCAGGTGCTAAATAAATATGCATCTAATTGCGTAGGGGTTACGCTGCGGGACTGAGATACTAAATGGTCATGAATCACATTGTCATTATCTTTAATATGGCCATCTGTTTTGTATTCGATCAGGTTACATCCGAAGCTGCTTGCCGACTCGCATGCGAAATCGAGTCAGAGTTCCTGTGTCGTTCCTACCTGTACATGGGACCGCCTCACTCGGCCGCGTACAATTGCCGTTTGTACCACTTGGACCACCACACCCTGCCCGATGGACCTTCAGCTTACCTCAACGCTGAAAGACCACTCATCGACGATGGAGAACCAATTGGAAAGTACTTCGAGAACTTCTGTGAGAGTAAGTACCTACATTTTTTGTTGTTTTATCTGTTTCTCTTACTTCGTGGAGTCGAAACATGAAATACTGGTTCTATCGACAGTGCAGTCTATTACTAACGTTGCTGCTCTAACAAGGTCCTATTTTAGTAGAAGAAAATGGGAAAACATAAATTTGAAACACGTATTTTGCAATAGTAACCCAGTTTAAAGTGTGGGTCGAAGCAATAACGATAACAACACTGTTTTATTTAAACTCGCTAGTGCGCAGGCGCCGAGCCGAGATACATCGGGTACAAGTTACAGTAAATTGCAGTCTTCAAAAAACTGAATAAACCACTTTGGACGGTTCAAAAAACTATAGAACATTGTGACATTAATGTTTTATTTGTATTTTTCGTATATTATTATGCTCGGTCGCCTATTGATAATGGGAAAATAATACAGGCCTTAATTTAAAATCTTGTAATGACTTCATATGGTCAATAATTACATGATCCCGCGCTCTAACCACACCTCAATCATCTGAAGATGGAGTAGGTTATAATGAATTTAAAAGCTCACATTTTTGTACTTTACTGTTACACATAAATTCAAAATTATATAGTGGGTATTGGTTAACGTCAGGAGCGGTGTAATTGAAAATGTTTTACAAAAAGCTGTTCTTACACGGATCGTATTTTAAAAATTATGAAGATGCAATACATTCCCAACGTAGTAATATTTCTGTTCATAAATTCGTTACATATCACAGGTTAGCATAGTGTCGTAAATAATATAATTTACTTAGAAAGTGTAACTGCACGTAATGCATATATTTAAGTCGGGCGGGAGTATATAATATGTTATTTACAACTGCAGCGAACAGAGCTTATTATTTGGTCGTACATTTAGCGGAAGCCGGCCATCTAGAACTGAATTACGGAAGAGATCGAAGCCGGTGTACCTTGTGAAGTATTTATTGTTAGTACTTTCTTTTGATAGCGCCATATTTCTATGGGAGGAGCTCTAGTCGCCACTATGATGAAGAGAGCACGGTTTATATTTACCTCGACATCTCCAAGATTAAATCTATGTTTTACATAAAGTACTTAAGGCAAGATCGCGAACACGATACATACAGCTCTAAGCTAACAAGATTAATATTAAAACATTGCAACTTATTAGAACGTTACATTAATATGCACGAATATGTAAATCATAAAATTTCTATTTATGTGAACTTGTCCTTGATAAGAAAGTGGAGTAGGAATGTCGGACTAGCGAATGACACCTTGTAAATATTCGCTGACAATTAAATGAAGCTTGTTGCTGGTCGCTGGTACACTGGCCTACGTGTAGGTACATTCACCCTAGCAGGCAGCGACGCGGTAAAATGTAAATAATACACCTATACTACCTCGCTACTTTGTTGCTTTATTCAACTAATGCGCGATACGATGCATTATTTAAATACTAAACAATGTCTATTGGAATTCGAGTCCATTGTGCTGTCAAAACGATCATCGTAAAATATAAAAATGCTATCAATGTCGATTTTAATACGCCATTTAATTCGCAAATAGGATGTGATTGATATTTGTTACGCGTTACTTTCTAGTTATATGTATGAAGTCCGTACGTGAAAACAATTTGTATGTCCCTACGTATATTTTTCTTCGAAGTCGATACATTGTCCGTATGTACGGTTAGTGCTGTAGCCTCAAGTATTTCGCGATAATGTGTGAGACTATCGTAAGTCGTCGGTAAAGTGATTGGTTTAAACGTTTAGCTTCGTCATTACCTCCGCAAATTGGCTGCGAGTAGGAATGAAGTAATTATCGGCTGCCGATTTTGTTGTTTCGTTTTATTTGCTTCTTTTACTCAAGTGACAGAGCTCAGACTTTTATATGGTTGAAGCTGTGTTTTAAAGCGGAATTCAATTTAGTTTTCAAGTTAATTTTTTCTCTCTAATGTCCTTTACAGTCACAATGAATGCCGTAAATTGCATTAAAAAGATGGCAGATGTACACTATTTTTTGGTAAGATCATATCATACATACTTGGAGATGAAGGTAACGGCTTTGAGGGCTAACTAGAAAAGATTCCTTGTAATTTACCTACAAAAAATTTGATGACCTGTGTGATTGTTACGTATAGCTCTTATTTACAATTTTTTCGTGTGCAGCGTGCCATCGTTTGTAATTAAAGTTAAAAAATACAAATATAAAAGAGAAGATATAACACTGAAAAAAGCCGTAGAAGTATTCTGTCTAGTTTTATACTTATCTTCTAATAAATCAAGGCAATGTACATCAACGTACTTTTTTAAGGCTTAAACAGCGGGAGGCACGCACAGAATGACGTATTAGGAAAGTGTTAAGAAAAAGTTGTAATTAAACTCAGTTAGTGTTGGATTAGACGGCTGATCTATGGTTTCATTGTGCTTCTTAAAAGGGAAGCAAAAATATTTTTGTTTAGATAAAATATTGTTTTTAGTAGGTCTGAGAATATGGTGTGTTCAGCGTCATTATAAAAAGTATTACAACAAGGCAATATAGGAAATTTATAATGTGTGCGTGTGTGATTAGGTACACCAATAATTTAGTGTTTATTAGGTACCATCTCACTCAGAATTTCACATAAATAAAACGCGTATGCATACAGCTCAATAATAATACATTGGCAAGAGATAGCAACGGTTTTTGTTAAGAACGTAATCAGCGCAACGTGCAATGTCCGCTACAGTTACACGTCAGCCCGGTATTAACACGCTTTCCTAGAAAGCTGGGAATTATCATCGATTTTTTATTTTGCTATTATTTTTAAAGTAGGTAGTTTGCCGCAATTTTTCGATAAAAAGTAACGCTTTCTACCAAAACCATGTGGTTTCGTTTTTTTATTTGATTTTAAGAGTTCTGTTATTGTTTGGGAAACGTACTGACATTAGTACGGTGATTTGCGATGACCGACTTTGTGTTAAAATGTTTTTGTTAATTTGAAAATTAATCTGTTAAGTCTCGTCTTACGAGACCGTAGGTTCTTGTAGAATGAGTTCTATCTATAAGAATTATTCACTTAGCCGACATGCGGCCTAGGGAAAAGGCGCTCGATAATTTGAACTTCTAATAAACTTTGTGGGCCCTTTATTTGAAATATGTGCTATTACTGGCGCTCGTTAGTGAGCAACGGGATACGTATTTGCTAACGTCATGATCATGTTTTACGTCGAGGCGCCAGATAGATGCCCCATGCGTCTAATAGACAGCGACGTCTACTCATTCATAGATATACATAAAATACCTCATTTAGCCATCTTTATAAGTAAACAAACATGAGTGATCAGTAAGTGAATGTTAAAAAACAACGCTAATTATGATTTTTCACAATAAACCGATGCAAATCTTTATAATAACGCCATTAGCGTAGGCTAAAGCAACGGAAGTTAATTGTTAAACGTTGCTCAGCGGCTGCGGAGTAGTGATGAATAACTTCTCACCTGCAGCTACGGTAGTCGTGAGAAATGTCTGCCACATACATACAATACATATTGTTTTTGCCGCTTTATCAGATTAGACGTCGAAACAGAATGGTGTGAGCCAACGCCGTGAATCAAACGCAACACTTCAACGAAGCGTTTAACTGTTAGAAATTGTATTACTTGACATTTAATGGAAATGTAGGTGATCTAACGCGTTTTGCGTGTTATCATAAACTCTAGACTGATCGGCACTTCTATACCAACCCTATTGACACTTAACAGATTTATACTGAGAAACAAGTTTTAGATAAATGTGCCGATGCATTTTCAATGAGGGAAATGTAACTGCATTTTCTAAATACGTCAGTCCGGAGTTCTCGACAAGTTAAGAGCATGAGCCTACTAATAGTTGAAGCCAGAACCTCTAACAAGACGTAAACACTGGCGAGTCCATATCTCACGCCACGCCGCATGCTGCAGGGTCAGGGTCAAAAGCGTTCGATGTACTTTAATCGAGTTGACTCGCCTCGATCGAACCGATACAATCGATTTGCAACTACGAGTACGGGAGATGATGCTGGCTGTTAAGAGAAAATAATGCTCTGCCATGTTGTTATAAGGAACAGATCGTGACCATGTAACTTTCGGATGAAGACAGTAGACGGATATTCACTTTTATTAACGTGCGGTACGAAACTTCGAGTTGATCGCAGTGGCTTCTAACGAGAAGTTGTTTAGTTTTCGTTTAGTGAAGTGCAAATACCTTGTTAGGGATAATTCCATAGCACGGATGGGTGTTCCGCTACAAGCAATCGGGATGCCTGCTACTCAATTACGTAAAGCCGCGTTATGGCACTGAGATTGGCATCAGTCTGCCGGCGATTCATTTTACAGAGCAAAACACACATAAAATAAGTAATCAGCTATACCTACACGGATATTTTCTCCCACTGATACCGTTACAAACTCAATCCCCTGCATTTCCTCATCTATAAGACAAAACATAATTACACACAGATCCGAGGTTATCTTATGATCGAAATAAGGAACTGCAATAGTAATTTAGTTAGACCTAACGAATTATGGGAAATTTTATTGTAAATAGGGGTTTCTGGAAGACCTAATGAGAGTAATCCTATTAGAAATGGTATGAGGCAAAGCTTTGCGGCGAAGATAAATAATGAGAACAGGCAATTGTCATTACGTCACGATATCAGTAAAGTGATTCACAGACATAAAAACATCTCACGTCTGATGCACGCGGCTTCACTAATATATTCGATAAAAGTGATATTCATTACAGAATTGATCAAGCGGAACCTTGTTCGACGGTATCTATTTAGCATTGTAATTGGTGTATTCACAGTGAATAGGCACACCGGCGTCGATGATACCTTAGCATAATTTCGTTAGTTATGTTTACAATGAGAGAATGTGCCGAGTCATGATAACAGGCGCTGCATTTTGCTGCAAAAACTATCAAAGAACAGTGGTATTGTAAGAGGAGGCGGCGGCGATGATAGCGGCGATCGTGCGTGCTCTCATAACGGTGGCCATACACAAATTGAATAGGATTTTTTGTGGCGCCCGAAAACGCGGCTCCGTCGTCGTGCAGCCCTAAATCTGAGATAATAGCAGCTGTTGATATAGAACACGGGAAATATGGCTGTGGTAAAAAAATACCGAGAAACTTGAAATACATGTAATTCTTTTCACCTCATGAAATTAGGCAAATTGTACACTTATCCACATGGATAAGTGTGTACTCACCTGAGTGAATCACCAAGTAATCAAGTCAGGAGGTCGTATAACGAGGAAGTGGTAAATCCACTAGAAAGTCAACCAGCCACACACCAAGACATTAATGGCTAATGGAATTGTCAATTATTCGATATTACAACGCTGTTTATTGTGTAACCGTCATTAGGTGAAAATTCATTAGTACTTATTTTCAATTTATTTTAGAGTTAGATATGACCAGGGTTGTAAACAAACTTTATAGGTCTCTTCTGGTTAGTTTAGAACATTTTTTGGGAACTCACTTCGTCTGCTTAATTAGGCATTAATCTGGGCAGTTATTAATGTGATGCGCGTCGTTTATATAGTAGCGAGTATAACGGCCTTGGGCGGCCTTGCCCGCGCGCCGATACATGCGGTCGCTGCGCAGGTCAGCGCCCGCGCACCGCATGCTGCTAATCGAATACTTAATTGAATTTATGCAACAATTTAGATAAATTGAAAATACTTTTGCTGTCCAATATATTTTTTCACGGCGATTTAGTGGAAAAAGCTTTTAATAATTTCGAAATGTATATCTATCTCAAGATTTATCTCACAGAAGATGACTCATGTCCTTGATAAATGTGTAGAATTATTTAAATTTATCGTTTATCTATTTAGTTCGGCAGGTTGTCTTAGTACAGCTCGTGAAGTTATGAGTAAATGGGTAAACAAGTTTATTACAGGCATCGACAATCTAGTGGTAAGATAACGGCATTGCATCTCAGTAACAAGATTGCATACGGAACCCTGTCTTGATATCTAGTGGGCCCGTTATATCCTTAAGCGGACACTTCCGAACACGCGACCGCGGACGACGACCATACCATGGTTTTTCTGCCCTTCATATTGTATAACGTTTATGAGCTTTTAATAAATATGTATGTCGCTTTGAAGGGAAATCGGCCCAGAGATACCGATGTTAAAAAGTGAACACAAGAACTATGAATAGGAAGGCACTACGGTGCCTTATGGTCGTAGAAAAAATGTTACTAAAGATTGCCATCAGTCATTTTGCTCTAACAAAACGTTTCGTCTTTCATTGATCACGGCCACGTTTAATTTCCAACCTAATCTAGCGACAAGCTGTGAACAAATTTAGCCCAAAAAACGAAAAAAGGAAAAACGTTCTAAGATTTCGACTTGTTTTTTTCTAAATCTCTCGTATTTCTGTAAAAAACGAGGTGAAGCCTACTTACGAAATGTAGGTAAGTCGGAGAAGTTTTTGATATTCGATAATTTCTTTGAAAATAAGTTCGGTCAATGCAATTCTTTGCTATATTGCTTTGTCACAACTTTCAGGCAAACAATTTGTTCTGGCTGAATCACAGGGAAATCTGATTTCATATTTTTTCAGACAATTTATCGATATTACTCGGAAAATAGGACTTAAATTTGTTCGTGTAATTTTTTGTAAAAATGTTATCGATTCTTAATTTATTCATATTACTTAGTTAAAATTTTTGTAAAGGTCTATTTATAAAATTTAGGTAACTAGATAGATAAAAGACAACATAGGTTTTGCCTATGTTGTCTTTTATCCTTTTATCCTAAAAGTGTAATAAATGATGACCATCGTTCATATAACTAAGAAATAATTAGTTACGAAAAATATTAAGTTTTTTCTCCACACACATACCAAGCACGTAAAACACATAAGCTGCATTAAGTCATTGTTTAAGTTGAACATTATTAAGGCGACCGTGGGAAGTTGTTGATAAGTTTTTTATAACTCGTTGAAGCGTTGCAAATATGCTGTTCGTTGCTGCAGCGAGCGGTGTCATCGACTCCGCCTCGGAAACAAGGCACGATCAACAGAATGACGGATTAAAAATCAACTAACTTTTTTTGGGCTCAAGAAATTAATTTATTGACAACCGCGCCTTTGTCAGTCGTCCTTAGGACTTTTGAGGTTCGCTCGTGGGTAATATGCAAACTTTGATAATGTCAGGCTTGTTTGACGTAAAATATCGACTGTCAATACAGCCCATTGATAAAGATTTATTTAACAACTTACTCATAAACGAAGAAGAGCATACATAATGATTTATGGGCCACTACATCAAAATGAAAGCGAATTACTACTACTTATTTCTTTTTTGGTCTACAACACGATATTAGTGACGCCAGGTTCTCCCGTCGTAATTCATAAATTATTTTCCAAAGAGGAATAATGAGGACTCAAGACTATGCAGACTTTAAGGGTGTCATTAACATAATTGCTCCAGCATCCACAAGTAAATTATTTATCATTTGAAAATAGATGCACAGTTCTACGGATGTCCATTTCATTTTATTTTAGGACACCTCTTTACGTTGGACATGTGAAATAAAATAGACTTCGTTTGCTAATAGGTGTTTCAAAATAATTGTATATATTTACTGTAAACTGCTCACCATCATTCAGCTCAGGTTTCTTGATTGTCCCAAGCTCTACATAGATACCACATAATATACTTTGAAGCTAATAGACTTTAATAATCGATTTGCTATTGCGTAATAGAACTTTATTACAATACCATAAAGTTCTAGAAAACCCAATGAATGATAATAATACTTATTAATCATTCCAAGCCTTGCTCACCGATCTTGATCTTTTAGTTTTGTGCACTGTTGTTCATAGTCCCTCAGTCGCATGGCGTTTAGCGACGGAAAAGCCGTGGGCGAGATCCTCCTTTGTCCAAAAGTTAGCGGTCAACGGCCCAATTCTTGTTTACGTCACCTTATTATTAGCCGGGCAGTCGTGAATGTATCCAGACATTGGCACTATACTAAGAAATCGATTCGGAACGGTTAAAGTTAGACGCCCAATACTTTGCCGATCTTTACTGTTCTATTAATGACTCCTGATTTGAAAGAATATGCACTAAAGCAAACTACTTATCGAAAAAATGACGATTAATCTGTGTGTGATGACAGTTTAGTAATTAATATTAACGAGACATCAAACGAGAACAGATTCTAGAATCGAGGTTGTGAGAACTTTCAACTGCCAGTCTGTAGTGATTGCGTGCGAAAACCTAGAATAGCTAACCGAGGGAGCTATGCTCAGCATAGGGGACGATAATTGCACCAACCAGGTACGCGTATGATGCTCAGGTAGCATGCACTTAGAATAGCCGCGTACGCCGCAGTACGTTGTAGCAATCTTGATTCGATTATTATAATATTCTCTGGGCTCGTACATTTGCCTCTGCCTAATCAGAGATTAGTATAGACGTGCACTCAGGATTCATGCATTTGCTAGGCTTTATTAGCCAACGACTCCATAATTTGATGCATTTCTACTTTCTGTTTGCTTTTTGAATTATCTAGGTATTTGTTTTTAAACTCTTTGTTATTTTTGTTCTAGAGCCGCCTAGCAACGCAAATCCTCCTGGTGAGCTACCGGTAACTATTGAGCACCAACAAGACCCGAACATGTCGAGCAACTTGACAAGAAACGATGCCAACTGCGACAAAACTGGAACTTGCTACGATGGTAGGTTTGATAAACGATTATTTATTTATCTCTATCATTAGGGAAACGGGCTCTATATAAAATGTATGGTTTCAGTTTCCGTGCTTTGCAAGGATACAAGGATCGCCGTCCAAGTGCGTACGAACAAGCCATTCAATGGACGCATTTACGCTTTGGGACGTTCAGAGACTTGTAACATTGATGTTGTTAACAGCGACCTATTCCGACTCGACCTCACCATGGCTGGCCAAGATTGTAACACTCAGAGCGTTGTGAGTATTCATTTATTTGAACAGTCGGTGAAAAATGAACTTCAATTCTGTAAGCGGTAATAATAACGTGACTTTTTCTTTCAAGACTGGAGTATACTCAAACACAGTCGTTCTGCAACATCACAGCGTAGTGATGACTAAGGCAGACAAGATCTACAAAGTCAAGTGTACATACGACATGAGCTCGAAGAACATCACATTCGGAATGGTACCAATCAGGTCAGTGGGACTTTCACATAGTATCGTCATAATTTCTCGTGAGCTGCTTTTTGAATACAATTCATTCATGAAGTAGGCAAAGTACCGCAAAAATGCTAAGTAAGATTTACCGTATAATTTATTCGAGTCTGTCAAGAGACAAAGTTACGTGATATGTTACTGTAATATGAAAAACGGGTGCTATTTCGACATGCCTTCATGCCAAGACGATTTTAAATTCCATCGACCTAATATCGGTGCTGCATTGTAAACACGTAACAATTAGATTCACATCAGTAAGATACGGTCAGTGGACGTGATGAGCAATTTAACACCAAAATCTGTTCAAACGTGTTCTTAATGAATTTTGAAAACCTTGATAGCATCTCAATCGCCAGTAAAGGGTACCATTACGTTTCTGTACACACATTAATAAATAATTTTGAAGAAGTAATTGTAGGGAATAATAGTTTTTTAAGTCATTGAAGTTGCAAGATCTAAATATTTCCTTAATTATGCAGAGACCCGGAGATGATTTCCATCACTGCCGCGCCCGAGGCACCGCCACCACGCATCCGTATCTTGGACGCTCGCCAACGCGAGGTGGAGACGGTCCGCATTGGAGACAGGCTTACCTTCCGTATCGAGATCCCCGAAGACAGTAAGCATTTAAATTTTATGAAAATTTTATCTAAACGTAGTTTTAAGAAAATGCGGTATCTAATATTGTCATTTTATTCCCTAGCTCCATATGGTATCTTCGCTCGCAGCTGTGTCGCTATGGCTAAGGACTCAAAGAGCACCTTCCCCATTATTGATGACGAAGGGTTGGTATATTTATTTGACCACTTTACTCTTTTGTTTTAAAGAGAACGAATTTCTTACGATTCTTTTCTTTTCAGATGTCCTTTGGATCCGTCAATTTTCCCGGCGTTCACTCCAGACGGCAATGCTCTCCAATCCGTGTACGAAGCTTTCAGATTCACAGAATCTTATGGAGTTATCTTCCAATGTAACGTCAAGTACTGTCTTGGACCTTGTGAACCGGTGAGTGACACATGAATCATCAATTTAGACGAAATGGGTGTTCGCATTTTTTATTTCTAATGTGACCATTAGCAACGGTTAATTCAGTTAGTCACGATAACATTACGCAAATGACAAGACGTTGAACATGTTTTAGGCGGTGTGCGAATGGGGCAGAGATTCTTTGGAGTCTTGGGGTAGGAAGAAGCGTTCGTTGCCCCACAACGAGACCAGTGAGGCACACAGTCAGGAAGAAGATATGAACATCTCCCAGGAAATCCTTGTCCTTGACTTCGGTGATGAAAGGCAGAGCACAGACTTCCTACGCTCTGACAAGCCTGGAGGCGTAGCGTCTGAAGCTAACTTTGGAGGTAATTTTAATGTTAAATCTGTGTAATTTATTTTTTATTTGCTGAGAGGGTACGCAATGGAATGATTCATTCTTTTTCTTTCAGAAAAAACAGTAACGATCGTGGAGCCGTGTCCCAGCAAGGCGTCGGTGCTGCTGCTGGGCGTGGCGTGCGCCCTGCTTGTCCTGTTGTACATCGCGACCATCTTCTGCTACTACATGCGCAAATGGCTGGCACCGCCCAAGCACATGTCATAATTATATTTAATCTAGAGGCTATGTTCACGTTGGTCTCGACTCACTGGGTCGGCCGCGACCCGCTGATTGTCTTGTATTGACGAACATGTGATACAAATGACTGACGAACACAACAGTAAACAATGTATTCTCAGACAATATCCGTCCATTTAGTATAGGTTCCGTGAATATTTTCGTGGTGTATAGATTTGAGAAATGATTTTGACGCCTAATTTTTGGTATGATTGTTGTAACCACCGCGTGATTTGCATTTAATTTAGGAGTAATTTATTGCATTTATTAATTTTAAGTAGGTGTATGAGTAGATAAAATCAACTTATAAATCTTACTTGTCCCCTTAATACTGCAGTTTAAAGGGTATTATTGCATTTATTAGATAATTTTAAAAGTGTAAGACAATGCATTTATTGTAATACTTAAGTTAGCTGACCATTTTTTGTACAATTTTTGAGTACTCATCATATCAGTAGTTACAAAATAATGTTTGGAACAATCCCTGAAAATTTATAAAGCTGATTCATCGTAAATTGATTTTAGGGGATTATTCTGAACTGTCTACATTGGTAATGTTAGATTTTAGGGCAATTAATTATTGTAGGAGTAATAATAGTCACAACTATTTGCATTTTTTGTAACACTTTATGGTAATCATAGATACTTTCATATATTTTACAACAGTTTGAGGTAAACAATTTTATACTATGAGAACAAAAACTAAATCAATTTGTAAATATACTGTTACCTTATTGACTTTGTGCTACAATGCTTAGTTTGACTTGTGAACTTTCAGTTGGGTTCCGAAGAAATGTAGCACACACTTTGTACATCTGCTTATGTACTAACTGTTATCATGTTTCTCTTAACCCAACTTGAGATTTCTTCTTTATTTATTTAAATTAATTTTTAATTTATCTATTTATTTTACTTTTCATTTAATTCAGAAATGAAATAAACTGTACAAATTTAATCTTTTTTTATTGTGTAACTAATAACTTTGTAAATAAATACTAACACTGTCACTATAAATTTCCCCTAATAAGTTTTTAACAAGATTGACAAACAAGACAATCATTTATTTTATTTCTTTCCTAAGAACCAACAGTTTGTGTCATTAAGTTTTTATAAACACCATTCAGTATTTCTTCTTGAGTTTTGAAATCAATTTCTTCAGTTTCACAGCCAAAGACTTTGTTAAAGCATTTTAGGAAAATGGGTGTGACTTTTTCTACAGGCCATTCTGTTCCAGACTCTTTCGTAAGTGAGGTGACACCCTTATCCTCAATGCCACAAGGGTCAATATTGTTGAACCATGAAAGATCATTGTCACAGTTGAGTGAGATTCCATGAGTAGTGACATACCTGGATGCATGTATGCCTATAGCAGCTATCTTATTGTCATCCACCCACACTCCAGTGTATGGGGATCTCGTGCCTTTAATACCTGTAATTGAGAAATTATATATATATTAGTACCTAGAGTTGAACAATTTTGATGTCAGTGAGTTAGTGATGAATATTGCAATTTAAATAAGTACGAAGATAATATTTCTAGCGGTCCACAGCAACATTAATAAAAATCTAAGTTTTATTCTATTTATTTACAATTCTTTAAAATGTGTCAGATGCATATCAAGAATTATAAATATCTTAATAAGTATCTCTATGTGACTTATTGAAAAAAAGGCAAGAAAAGATTGAATAACAATGCATTATGAATGAAAATAAATGTTAAAGATCCTCACCTATTTCATCACAAACATTGATGACAGTTTCTTCCAAGCTGTTCACATACCATTTGACGCTTGTCTTGAAATGCTTCAAGTTTATCACCGGGTAAGCAACCAACTGGCCCGGTCCATGAAAGGTAATGAGTCCGCCTCGGTTAGTCTTCCTAAACTCTGCTCCAAGAGTGCGGAGCCGCATAATTTCATTTTTTGGGGTGTCATCTCTGATTCCTAGGAAGAAAGACCATTTTAGGGCATTTGTTCTGTTTTAAAATATTAGCAAATTGTTTACTCAACTCGGTATGATATGGTTCTAATAGAAGTAACTAAGGGTAATCAATGACCCTGACTCATTTGTTAAAATTAAATGTGGTTTCAAGCAGCTGCAATGGAATTGTCAGAGAATAGTTTTAGGTTATGTTATTACAACCTACCTACAGTGAAGACCGGTTTATGTTCTACGAGTAATAGAGTGTCGCAGAGAGAGTCTTGACCCTTCAATATAGCATCCAAGTGCTTTCTAGCTAGCGCCGTTTGTATTTTCAGCGCCGTGTCGTAACTCATCAAACCCAATTTCCATACTTTAACCATGATGAAAGAGATTTTTTATTATTTCTTGCAATTTTCTACAAAATTTATTAAATTATTTTATTTTTCTTTTATAATTTACAATTTTTATTATATTTTTCTAAAAAAACAAAAACAAATCAACTTTCACATGAGTATGACAGTGACATACATTTGATTGACGTTAACCATGTGACTGAGATGCCTTTTAAAGAAATCGGATTTAAATAATATAAATATGTAATTATACATATGAGTACACCAAACGATTGTTTTAGATTACAAAACCTTTATGACGATTTACAGTTAAAGTAAAATTTCTAAAATATTTATAAGAAGAATATTTAATATCTGTTGCTTATGGTGCCATCTGTCTTCAATTCTACTAACTACTATGCTATTTTTTTTGGTAAGAGATGGCAGTAAATAACTTCTTTAATTATAAGTCTAATAGATGGCGTTAATATATATTAGTCTCAGCTGTTTAAGTTTTGCTATTACCCAATAGATGGTGTTGTAGCATGTCCTAATACAACCTTTATATTTCTGTAGCGATGTATGCGGGTAGAATGCTTAAAACATCTTTCAGTGGGTTCAGTTTTCGGTGTTCTCTGCGTGTAGGGCGGTGTTTGGTTCGTTACGTAAAACCAGCTGGTAATATAAACATTGTATACCAGAAACATGCAATAGTTTCAGATAGACATTGAGTTTTTTGTACTAAATATTGTGTTTGCAACCTAATTCTTGTGTTTTGTTGTGGTCGTGTCGCCGTTATGATTTAATCCCTTCGGTTTAGAGAAATATAACTCTTATGCTACCGGTAGCGCGTTTATATGTCGTGTTTGGACAAGGTGTTAGTGAGATCAGAGATGTGGTGCTCTCTCAAGCGATGACAACAGGGGTAAATATTATTTCAAATATCTTTATTTTATTTGTGCTGTTACGCGGGAGCAAGTACTCCCCAACATCCATAGGTAGGTATATACTTTCTATAGGTATGTATATGTTTCTATACGTACAACTTGTCATGTTTTGGCGGCAAAACACGTAGGTACAAACGTAGTTTTTAATTATAACTACCTAGTGAGTAGTGCTGAATTGGTTATTACTTTTTCAATACTAACTAAGCACCTTAAAGTATTTCATTGCGTTTAAGAACAAATTATTATATTACATTTACACCTACACAAAAATACTTATTAAAAACACGACATAAGAGAAAATATGAAGCCAAAATAAAGTCAAAACCTAATAATTTATTTGAAATAGACTACTAGATAATATAGGCACTTTTCAACAAAACAATTATTAAATACCAAAATTTTTAATCGGTCTGTCCTTTAGTGAAGTTATTAGCTCGTTGTTATAATTCTTATGATTATGAGTCCATCTTTATGATTTAAAGAACTTCAAATTTGGTGTATGATCAACTAAAATGATCAAGGTTATAAAATGTCATTCACATTTCCAAAAAAAACCCCAACTAAGTAGATACTTAATTGGTTTGTAAATATGTAATAGTTAAATTAGTTCGTACATTAATAAGTTATTTCAAGTGCAGAGAAAAACTCAAAGAAAACCAACCAGTAGCAAATGAACGCAGTTCAAACAGAATCTACTGAGTCTTCCAAATTAGTGAGAAAAGAACATAAAACTCACGTCATCAATTTCTTTCATCCTGCATTTTATAGTTACGGGGTTAATGTCCTCCGGTGAGTTCCCGAGTGCAGTGGTGCACGGTCCAAAACCGCTACTAAGGTAAACAAGTGTCTAAACATTAATTGGTGAAGCAGGAAGACGGCGTCCTGTCTCTATAAATAGTTCAATATATTGACATCGACGGAGTGATTGCGAGGGGTTCCGTGCGTACGCGCAATTAAAAAAAAAAAAGTGGACACATGGCGCGATTTTTATTTAAAACTAGGTTTGTTCAGTGTATTTGTGCTTGACATTATTTCGTTATAGAGTTAGGTTACTAAGGTAATTAGGGTACAAAGTGATAATTAGTACAGGATTGTGTTTGGTGTATTGTGATAATAGAAGACAACGAATTATGTTGAAAAAACAAACTACCTATGGCAGAATAATGGATGACAAATATTTCTTTGCAGAATAAGTGACAGTGCCTGTACCATAGACACATACTTTCTACATAGACAAAAAAAAAAAACAAGTTTGTACCTGCAATTTAAATTTAAAATTTTTCGTTCCTATTCCTTCGTTAGTTTGTTCATACTTTTTTCATCATCATCATCATCAGCCTATAAGTGCCCACTGCTGAGCAAACGCCTCTTCTCATACGGAGAAGGTTAGAGCATTAATCACCACGCTTGCTCAATGCGGGTTGGCGATTTCAAACTTATAATTAGAAATTATAAGTCTAGGTTTCCTCACGATGTCTTAATAATCATATCTATAAAATTATTTCACTCTTACAATAATATAAAATTAGGTTTCCGAGTTACTTAACTCGGAGATCTAATGTTGTGAAATTGTGGTAGATATAGTAGATTATAGTAGATGCGAATGTCATAAACAAGGAGTAAATAGGTAATCATAGTTATACATCTTCACTATCACTATATAGTATAAAACAAAGTCACTATCTCTGTCCCTATATCCCTATGTACTACGGAACGGATTTTGATGCGGTTTTTTAATAGATATATTGAAGAGGAATGTACATAATCATACCATTGCATCCGTGTGAAGCCGGGGCGAATCGCTATATAGTTTTAAAATAATGTCTAGGTACATATCTGAATTTATGGCATTTTTTTCTCTGCAAACAAAAAGTAACGGATATTGTTTCCATAGCGTAACCTATTCGCGGCATGTGGTTGTACACTGCATGTCATCGCGGCATAATACATACGACAGGCAAACCCCATACTTGATGGGTTTTTAATTGCAACACCGCACTAGTGACAGGTGACGAACTAATCTAATGGAATCGATCAAAACATAGTGCTTTTTTTTTGAACAAATGGTTTTTGTGAATTATTTATTATGAAGGACAATTTGGTTCGGTTTTAAAAATTGTTTTTGGCAATTATGTCACTAGTTAGATCATCTTGATCGAATTTCTTACCATCTTTCGAATTTCTAAATAAGTAAAAAAAAGATTTTTGATACGTAAGTCGTAATTTTTAATAAGTTTAGAATCAGTTTCATTTTTATATCGTCGTTTATAACGCAAGTACTAGATCATGGAAATTACCTATTTTTTATTACTCTTACTCATACGCGATATCAAGGTCGAAAAATTAAGTAAATAATAAGTTTTGTTTTAATAGAGTTTAAGTGGGCAACTGACGATCTGAAGAATTTAAAGTTTCTGATCTCTTTTACGAAAATGTACCTAATCAGTCGTTAAAATTAAGTTTAAATAAATTTGGCAATTTTTAAATAAAAAGTTTAACTACAATATTGGAAAGTACTTATACTTTCAAATATTTTGAACTTGACAGTTTGTTTTGCCGTGGATTCCATGCCGCGTAAACGCTCTTATAAAAACTTTATTCATATTTTTTATAAAATATTTTTACAAAAAACCAAACCGACTTCAAAAAGCACCTAAACTAAAAAGCAAAAAATAAATTTACTTTGAACAAAGTAATACATATTTACATTTAGTTAAATAGAAAATAACATTTCATAAGTATTTTATAATCTTAAAGTCGGTGCCAAGTAAAACTATAGTAGTGTAATGATATTACCTACATACCTCTTGCTAGTTTGTTGATTAGTAGGTACCTATCAATATATTTTTCTAACTGTTGTTGTTTGGTACCTATGTAGTATTTACTTGGCACCGACTTCAAAATTATAAAATACTTATCAAATGTTATTTTCTATTTAACTAAATGTAAATATGTATTACTTTGAACAAAGTTAATTTATTTTTTGCTTTTTCGTTTAGGAGCTTTTTGAAGTCGGTTTGGTTTTTTGTAAAAATATTTTATTTCACCATTTTAAGTGATAGGCAGATAGCTATAATGCTTCTCGATAGAGAAGACGACCGCTACTTGAGATCGAAAATTAAGGTAATGGTAGTCCGAGTTAGTTAGCTTTCAGTGCTGTAAATCGTTGAGGAATTCCCTCGAATGTCAATGACCTCCATCATCAGGTATATTGCAGACCTTCATTATACATATACCACATAGGTGCAAAGGTCTCATCAATATAAATGATTTAAGTCCAAACACGAGGTAGTTACTGTAAACCGTTCAGGAGTTCCCTGAGCTGTCCATCGTTCTCATCATCAGACCCTTAATGACAGTCACAACCAATCTTGGTGCAAAGTACTCACCAATACGAATCATTCAAGCCCAAACACAAGGCAACTACTCCAAATAGTCAATGAGACCCCTCGACTGTATTCCGGCTCCATCATCACAATTTACTCCATAACTTCATTGTAATCCATAAAGGTGCAAAGTTTTATCGATATAAATGAATTAAGTCCAAACACGAGGTAGTTACTGTAAACCGTTCAGGAGTTCCCTGAGCTGTCCATCGTTCTCATCATCAGACCCTGAATGACAGTCACAACCAATCTTGGTGCAAAGTGCTCACCAATACGAATCATTCAAGCCCAAACACAAGGCAACTTCTCCAAATAATCAAGGAGATCCCTCGACTGTCTTCCGGCACCATCATCAGGACATCAGGTCGAGTTTGAACATCGACATGTTGTACCGTTGTCAAAAGCCTACTAAAACCACGTGCAAAAACACCACTCGCCCCTACAATTTTTGAAAGTTCCTCTCGATTTCTCTGGTCTTCCATCATCAGATCCTGATTTCCTTATCATGGGACCATTCTGAGACTGTTTCCTTTCCAACAAAAAAAGAATTATCAAAATCGGTTCATAAATAACGGAGATATCGGCGAACAAACATAAAAAAAAGCATATATACGGTCGAATTGAGAACACTCCTCCTTTTTGGAAGTCGGTTAAAAATATGTACCACTCAGTTCGTTGAGTTTCGTTCTATATTCAAATTTATTTCGTACATAGAAGCTATCCAGAATTTGATAACAGACCCTT